CTCTCTCTCTCACGCACACACACACTCACACACACACTCACCCACACACACACACACACACATGAATCTATGAGTTGAATTTGCATTTGCTGATTTGTATTTGTAGATACTGTCTAAATTGTTCAAAAAGCATACAATTTGTTGACACAGTCAGTCAGTGGGCATTTTTAAAATTCTTGCTTCGGAAATAAAACCAGTCTGACTCCATGTTCCAACACAGACAGTTTCTTAACAACGCCTCACACCAAAAGGGTTGTCTGACCTGAGATGTCACCTCTTGAAATCATTGATAAAACCTTTAGTTATCTCGGTACATTGACTTGAAAGAAATTCGAAGTGTTGCATGCTAATCAATCGAAACCTGCATCTTCTTTCTAACTGATTAAAGATTTAACGGGAGTGAGTCAGCCAGCCAATTTAGGGTTATTAACTACATTTGCATCAGTCATATAATCCTTCGATCTTTTACTTTTAAATTCTGTGTCTTGATACTTCCTCTCTCATTACACCTGAGGAAGGGGCAATGCTTGTGTGTTCAAATAAACCTGTTGGATTATAACCTGTTGTTGTGTGATTTTTGACCTTGTCCAACCCAGTCCAACACCAGCACCTACACATCACGACTTAACCTTTTGTGAGGCACCTTGTTGAAGGCCTTCTGGAAATCCAAATACAACACATTTACTGGTTCCCCGCTTTCCACTGCCTCAAAAATCTCTAATAAATTAGTCAGACGTGATTAGTCAGGTATGGAAGTGGCACGGTGGCTCAGTGGTTAGCACTGCTGCCTCTCAGCGCCAGGAACCTGGGTTTGATTCCAGCCTTGGGTGACTGTGTGGCATTTACACACCTTCTCCCTGTGTCTGAGAGTTTCTGCTGGGTGCTCTGGCTTCTTCCCACAGTCTAAAAATGTGCAGCTTAGATGGATTGTCCATGCTAAATTGCCCGTAGTGTCTGGGGATGTGGATTAGTGATGGGGAATAACGGGTTATGGGGATTGGTTGGTGGGTAGGATGCTCTTCAACCCTCACAGGAAAGTCAGTGCAGACTCAATGGGCCAATTTTATTAACGTAAGAATCATGAAGATTAAAGTCACCCATAACTATTGCTCAATTATTTTTATATGCTCCTACTATTGGTTGATTTATCACTTTTCTTGCAGAGTGATTCCTATTGGGGATCTGTACAGCTCTTTTACCAAAATGTGCTTTCCTTTGCTGTTCATTTACCTCCAGCCAAATGGACCCTGCATCGTCTGAGCCTAGGTCATCTCTCACAAGTATCCTTATTTCATCTCTTATTAACAGCGCTACCTCACCTTTTCCATTCCTCCTGTTCTTCCTAAAGGTCAAATATCCCTAAATATTCAGTCCAGTTTTGACCTCCTTGTGGCCATGTTTCCATAATGGCTAGAGATCTTATTCACTTCACTCGATTTGTGCCATCAGTTTTCCTCCTCATTCCAAATGCGTTGTGCATTAAGATTCAAAGCCTCTATGTTTGTTCCATTTTCAAGTTTCTGCATACTTTTATGCTTCCTTAGTGCAATATGACGTTCACAAATTCTACCCCTTTTATTTTCTAGTAACAATCAATCTCATCACTAACTAGCAAATCTACTTTCTCCTTTGTTTTGGTTATATTGTTGCATCCTGGTGAGTAGTTTGCAACCTGAGTTTAAAACTGGTATTGCTAGTTGGTCACTGGTAGAAAATTCCCAGTGTTAGCTTACATTTGGTTCAAATACAAGTTAAATTTAAATTTGAGCTCTTCCTTTACATGCAATAGTGCTAGGTAATACTCGTAACATTGGTAATGCAAGTTTTACAGACAAACTAAACATCTACCTGCTTGCCTGCTGTTCCATAAAGAAAAAACAAATTCTGATGAAGGGTCTAGGCCCGAAACGTCAGCCTTTCTGCTCCTATGATGCTGCTAGGCCTGCTGTGTTCATCCAGCCCTGCACCTTGTCCACAATTGTGTTAATGCCCTGGCAGTTATTTTGCAGGAACTGGGAGATTAAACCCAACAACTGATTCACAGACCTGCATTTCTGCCATTCTGAAACATCTCAGCCTCAGAAAGGTCATCTCACTAATTCTATAAAGACCCAGCAGAGGACTGCACAATAACCATTGGCTGGAATCCTGTAAAATAAAAGGTCTTCAAATGGCTAAAATTCTGCTGTCAAATAATGCATAAACAGCACATAAGGTGTTTTAAAAGTAATACTTGGTCATCAACTCATTGCAGGTGTGAACTTAGCGCCACTTTTTTTGGGAACTTTTATGTTCAATGTGAAAGATATTAGTGCTGATGGATGAAAGAATTGACATCAAGCACACTCAGGTGAAGTAGATCACAGCTGTGAGGACAGTAAAGCTCACTGTTTCTGTTCCAGCAAGGTATCTCATCATAACTTCAAAATAGAGGCTCGTACTGCTACATTTTTCCTATTTCCTACACAAGCTACTCGTAGAAATCTGTCAATGATTCTTATCTATATTTTCATCCATCTCAATTGGTTTGATGTTCTCAGCCCTGCCTACTTTCTCAGACTCATTTCATACAGATACCAGCATCCAGTAGACAGATCCTACCAATCTGCGTTGGATTTGTAAGTATGGAAGGTCAATGTCTGATCCATTGTGTCACCCCCACTAAGTCTGCCAAATACAGCTGTTGCAGAAAGAAAGTGGATTCATAATATAATTTGATTAAGGTTAGAAGTCTTATAATTTAAACTTACGACTGCTCTACTTTTTCAGAGACTTAAAGAACTGAAGCAAAGGGAGTTTGCTCGGAATGTGGCTTCCAAGTCTAGGAAAGATGAAAAGAAACAGGAAAAGGCACTCAAACGTTTACATGAGCTAGCTGAACTCAGAAAGCAAGTTGTGTGGTGAGTAAATAAGTAAAGCTGTCGTAGTCCTATTAGACCATAGGCTGCTCTCTCATTGAAGAAAGTCTAACGATGGTGGTTTAACCCAAGCATCAGCACACATCAGGTGAGGGATGAGTTGACTTGCTGGGACCTTCAAGGTAATCTCAGTTGGGTGTGGAAGTTGAACCCACGGTATTGGTATCACCCTGCATCACAAACCAGCCGTCCAGCAAACTGAGCTAACTGAGCTTAAAGGTCATTTAATCTACAAATGAAATGGCACCTTTCCAAGCATCGATGCACCAAAAGGAGCCTCTTCTTCTCGGGTTCTCTGTCTAAAGATAGGTCTGATCCACTGCATCGTAGAGGATAAGAAAGCAGCATCCATCCCAACCAGAATGGAGACTAACCCTATGCTGTTAGCACAAATCTGATCCACACTAGCCAATCAGCCACCAGAGCTCCTGAGGAGTTTGATTTACAATGGCAATGCCATAGTCCAGAGTTACGAATAACAATGGTAGAGGACCCAAATTCTTTCTAACGCTTGCTGATGAAAAAGGATTTGCCAGAAGGATTTACAGATTGATACTCTCAAGTTGTTTGGCCATGTTATGAATTGGCCATCAAGCCCTGTAGTATGGCTTCAATCTAGACCTTCTGGCTCAGAGGAAGTTTGCAACCTCCTTAAAAGAAACTTCATGACAAATTTAAATGTTTTTGTTTTAAATCTCATGGAAAATTAAAACTTTTGAACAATTTAAACTTGTTAAATTCTCTCCAATGATTCCAGATAATATGCATTAACATATGCAAAATAGGATAACAGCGTTTTCCAAAACTTAATGAAATTAAAACTGAACTAGCAGAGCTCAAGGGAAAAAAAAGTGTGACATACATCATCAAACAATATTGATTTTGCCTTAACTGATAACAGTAATTTTATATTCCTAAACTATTAGAGAGGTCACTTATGACTGATTTGAAGGGGTAAGTCTAGGCGGGCTAAACAAACAAACGGATTTTGAAGCTAATGAATCAGTCACTAAATGTTGCACTATGGGTTAGCAAATCCATTAAAATAAAATCAAGCACTAGGCTTTATCATTTAAAGGTATGGAATTGGAAAGTAGGTAAGTTATGCATAACCTGTATTAAAACTTGGTCTGATTAAACTTGGAGTAAGGCTTACAGTTGTGTTTGCTTTATTCTACAAAGGATTTGGAGGCATTGGTAAGTAGAAACTTACAATGATCTCATCAGAAATGCATGGGTTCACATTATCAGTAAAGGAATGACACATTGAGCCTCTTTTGTCCTGAGAAAAGGCTGAGGGATGATCCAATGGAGGTCTTTAAAATTTGAAAGATTTTAATGGATTGAATACAGGGAGAATGTTTCCTCTGGTGGGCAAGAGAATAACTAAAGACCATCAATATACATTAATCACCAAGAAATCCAATTGATAATTTAGAAGAAACTTCTTTCTGTAAAGAATGGCGAGAATGCAGAACTCACTACCACAGAGAGTAGTTGAAGTGAATACCATAGTTGCATGTTAAGGTGAAATTAGAAAATGAGTGAGATGGGATTCAAAGTTTAGAATGATAGATTTAGAAAAGGAAAGATAAGCGGAAGCTTGAGTATAGCATAAACTCCAGCATGAGCTAATTAGGCCTGTATCTGTGCCACATATCTATGTAAACCACAGCAATTTATAATTGGTGCGTATTGACAGGATGATCCTCAATATTTGCCCTTGGCATGGTCATATTCGTAGTCCAAATGTCACTTCTACATCAGAAAAATATCTGCCTTAGTCACGAGCAATGTCTATAATAAATAGGAGGATTCCTTCAGCAAAAGGTTTTCCATGTCACCTAAAATATTCTAATTTAAAGCCCGTTAATTGGTCATTTACATATTGTAGTTAAATTTCTGCTTTACACACTAATTATATTTGAAATTGACCTGGTACTCTGAAGTGAATTTGTGGTTTGGATTTAAACTCAAAACTATTTACATAATCACATACATAAGATCTTCATTCCACCAGCAGCAGGTCACATTATTGCATTAATTAAAAAAACCTTGATATGTGTTTAACAGTAGTAAACCGTTACAGCTTAGTATTACAGCTGAAAATGGTTATTTCACTAAAGTGAGCTTTTTTCCCCCGTAAGAATAGCTCACCAAACACTTGAGATTATTGTAAAAAACAAAAATGACGTTAAGAGCTATAAGAACTCATTTAATTGGAGTACATCAGTCAGATTTTGTTTGTAAAATGTAACATTTTTAATACCCATTGCTTTTGTAAGTGTTCACTAGTCTCCTTATGCCAAAAAGGAGAACTGAACCAATCAAAGGTCAGCAAATGTGTAATTAGTGTAAACTTACTTTGCTGATTAAGTGAAGTCTGAAGTATTATTTTCTACACACCACAATAATTTTTAAACAAGCACAAAATACCACAGAAACTCAATTTGCACTAGACATCAATAGCAATTGAAATTCTTATCTTTTATCCTGGCTTGGCTGGTTTCAGGTGAAATGGGCCCAGGGGAAACTTGATATGTAAGTGCAGTTGGGGAATCCGTCCAAGCAAGTGTAATATTTCAGTTCAACAACTCGATACCTCAGCTGCTGTGGAAGATGTTTCCTGAACTTTTTGATTAGTTATTTCTTAATTCTCTAAACCTAGATATGTCATCATTGGAATATTAACATTATCCAATGCAGAGATAATTATTTTGGCATTACCTTTGAATTCTTCAACCAAACCAGGCTGACCCATACACTTCCTTTTCTTTAACCCAGATTTTAATCTGTTTTCTACTATTTATGTTCCCCTCTTTCCATTCTCTACTGATGCCACCATAAAAATCTTAATGAGCTTGGCACAAAGGTGTTATTTTTGAATTAATTTTCATTCTGCGAAACAATAATTCTCCTATATCGTGACATAGTGTTAACACCATTGGACTAGTAATCTAGAGGTCCAGGCTAATGTTATTGGGTTCAGCCTCAAAACATTAACCGAGTCTCTCACTCCACAGATGCTGCCAGACCTGCTGGGTTTCTCCAGCACTTCCTTTGTCTGCTTCACAATTCCAGCATCTGCTGTATTTTCTGTTTATTTGAGTTGAGTTGCTGATTATAAAGGCTGTCAGGTAGAATTCTGCTTAACAGTGTAACCTGCACAGAACTTAATGCTATTACCTTTTTCAGAAATCAATTCATTGTCAGCCTTGTCCTTCTAGAAAGAAATAATTCACCTACACATTCTATTATGTCTTTCTTTGCTGCTGTTGGTAGAATTGACAGTAATGCTATATCTATATTTTGCTCGTGTGGAGTGTTTCAGACTATCTTATTTGTTATGCTTCAGTGCCCCAGGGAGTGGTCCAATGTTCAAGTCCACAACTGTTGCTGTTAAAAATGCCTCAGGGACAAATCAGCAACTTGCCAGCCTGAATGGTGGAAGAACAGACAGGAAATCAACAGATCCAAAAGACAGCATGGCAGGCAGTACCGATGATAATAGTAGGGGAAAGAATAAACTTTCTGTAAGCAATACATCTGACATCTGTAAAGCTGAACATTGTTTACTAGGAAAACAAACCTGTGGACAAAAAATAGGATTCTCCTTTTCCTTTCCCAAGAAAATTCCTGTCAAACTGGAATCATCGGCCGCAGTTTTCTGTGACAGCACTGAAGAAGGATCAAGCAAAATGAATACAAGCCTCAAACGCAAAATCAACTGGAATACTTACAGTACACAAACAAATTCCAGCATAGAAACACTCGCAGATTTTGAAGTTAAGCCAGAAAGCAGTAAGCACCAAGAGGAAAGCAATTTCAAATCAATGCCCTTGATTAAAGAAGGGGTTCAGCATTTGATAATGAAGGAACACAACAGTACAGCAGAAAGCTGTTTAACTTCCTGCATGACTCAAGTTCAAGGCAAGAATAAGCCAAAACTTCCCTTCTGCACTTCTGTGCCAGTAGAAAAGCAAGATACACTCTACAAGGTTGTAACTAAGGAAGAAAAAGCTTCAGAAAATGACACTTCAGTGTGCTTTGATACTATTGAGGACCGACATGGAGTTGATACATTAAGTAATGAAGCATTCAGCTCACCAGTGGAAAGTGAAACATCTAAAACAGCTAATGAGTTAATACAAAATGGCGATGTCACTGAAGAGTTCCTTCATGGTTTGTCTGAAAATTGTTGCTCTCTACATGTAGAGGCAGAAAGTGCCGACATAAAAAACAATCCTTGTGTATGCAGAAGACCAGATGCACCTTTCTTTCCTGTTGTCAGCAAGGATGAGTCAACTGTCCTTCAGTGGCCTTCAGAGATGTTGAATTTTACTAACACTGAGCCTTCCATATCTTTTTGCTGCAACCCTCTTTATTTTGACTTTAGGTCATCCCGAACTAAAAGCTGTGTGGAGGAGCGTAAATCCAAAGCAAATTATTTCAAAACATCCCAAACCTCATCAAAAGAATTAAGCAGACCTGCCAAAAGGAATCTTTCAAGTGGATTTTCTGAAATGAAACCAGATGTCTCCAGCGTCAATGTACAAAGTGCTGTCAACGGTTTTGAAAAGACGCTGAACATTTGCGATGGACAAATGGTTGGATTAAATCTGTACTACAATGGAATTGGCCAGGAAGAACCTATGAAAGAAATTGCACCCTATTGCAAATCTAAAAAATGGAAAAAGCACAAAAAGTCTTACAGGCATTTAAAGCATAAGCAAAGGAAGAAAGAGACTAAAAAAGAAAGTTATACAAACAGGAAAGACAAAGAGCATAGTTGCATCAATAAAAAAATGAAAAGGAGAAAACTGTCAGCGGAGTCAAAAAACGAGGCAATTGAGAGAACTGATGAATTGTTTAAAGAAGAAAATACTACAGACACAGTAGAATGCAGACACAGACAAGAACAACAACAAAAAGAATATTCAGAAGGACACCCGGAACAATCTGAAGTTAACTGTGATCAAGATAATGCAGTCTTAGAGAAACTGGGTAAAACTCAGAAAATAGTTGATTGCAACAATGTCAAACAAGACACTTGGAAAAGTAATTGGAAAAGCAGAGTATGCAATACAAGTAATGAATTAAGAGAGAAAAGAGAGAATAGTGAGGGCTATGGAGAAGATGGTGATTTTCTTATAGGCAGTGAAAGAAATGGCTGCAAACAACATAAACTGTGTTCATTGTCTGGGGATTCTTCAAGAAACTGCCATTCATCGTGTACCATGTGTACTTATACAAGTAAGCAAAGAACAAGAAGCAATGGCTACAATTCTTTATCAGACATTGAATATTCAGATCAACAGAGTGATGAAAGACATTCTTGCCAGAACCTTTCAGTGAAGAGAAGATATGACTCGCTGAATGGCAAGCCTGTCATTGTCTATCACAAACGCAGGAGACATAGACTTGCTTCACCCCCAGATGGATATCACAAACAAATCTCAAATTCATCAGGCAGGCATTTGAGCCAAGTGGGTAGCTCTAATTCAGATTGTAGATACAGTCGGAGAGGGCAATCTCACAGACGAAAGAAGCAGTGTAAAACCAGGCTTTACTTGAAGAGTGAAATGTCAGTAAGAGAAAAGAGTAAGTGTTTTTCAGCTGATGAGTTGCAGCCTTGCTATTCTCCATGTCAAGAGAATCTCTGTGAAAATTCTGCACCAAATACTCCAAGGCAAAATACAAATATGATAAATATCTCTCACTCTGTGGTACAGCAGGCAGAGGAAAGCTGCAGTTCAGTGTTCAAGCTATCAACAGGAACATTTGCAGAAGGTTACCATTCCAAGATAAACAACTGTTTTACAGATGCAGAAGCATCTAAAATGACACAGGACAGACGTGAATTTGATGAGCGCACAAAAAACAGTTTTTCAGAAATGTGGATTAATCACAAAGACCCTTCAGAGAATATTTTGCTTCCCAGGCTTTCATTTGTCCTAAATGATGGCACTGTGTTGCCACAGAGTGAAAAGGTACCGACTGTGAAGACTCTATCACAGACAGAAGTAATTCATCAGAAACAGACAGATTTGTATGGCGATAACAAAGATATCAAGCCATCTCTAAATGAGGTATTTCTTTGTCATTATGAAACTGCACCTGAGGCACATGCAGAAAGAGCATCATGGCTTCAAGATAATTCAAATATTCCACCCTGCCACACCCAGCAAACTCTGCAGAATGAAGCGACGGTGATGATTGATGATCAAAATGAAAGTACTGAACAAACACACAAAACCTTTTCGCCACTCTCTCAAACAATATCATTCACACCAGATGAAATTGAGAAATACAAGCAACTGCAGATTCAAGCTCAACAGCACATAGAACAACAGAAGCTAGTCAGCAAAGTGAAGACACCTTCACCCATTGCAGCAATTCCCGCGCAGCAGCCAATCTCTCGTCAACAATCGGTGACGACTGCAGCAATTACAACAATTCACCGTACTGTGCTCCAACATCACACTGCTACTGCAGCTGCAGTGTCTGCAGGAGTATTCATGCAACCGTACTCACAGTCTGTTCCACATGCCCATTCTCTCCCGTCACACTTAACACATATTTCATTAAACCCTGGCCTTTATCAAGGAGGTCACCCGACTTTTCTAGCAGCTCCACAACTACATATCATTCCTACTTGTGCTCTTCTCCCAAGCCATTTTGCCTTCCATCCCTTGCCAGCTACTACATTGTTCCCCCCATTACTGACGCTACACACTCCTACTATTCCACTCCACCATTTACTTCATTCCAATTTTACCACCTAAAATTTCCTGCATCTGACAGGTCACAACACATAAAATATGAAATGAACTATCTGTTTATCTAAATAGCCTGGAATCCAGGCCTGGATTTTCACTAAGCCTGTAAAGTATTATTGGCATTACCTATTTTGGGTGTGTTTACAATCTTTTTACAAAGTGGTAGAGAGAATAATAAGGATACCCTTTGTAATGTGTCACACAAATCCCTATTTTGCATCTTATATTGGAATGTTCCCTTCTTGCTGCAGAACCTGCTGTTATACTTGAAGTCGACAGAGTATTAATACTGATGTACTGCTGACAGTGTTTACAGCAATGTAAACAAATATCCATGAATTTGGTCCAAAATACATGCAAAACTTTTAAAATATATTAGGTAGGGAATTTCTTTCTACTTTGTTGTAATTATTTGTCGTATGCTATGTTTTTTTATGAAGTGAATGTTATGTGTATACCTGATGCACCTTGTCACTGAATTTTGTACTGATATATGTTACTGCTAGATCAAATTAGCTGTCTAAAATTGGTATGCGCATACACACACACATACAGATATTTATGCAATCAATGATGACCTAAACTATCAGAATTTGTATTAAGTTGTCTAGAAACATCATCTAAACGCACAATTATTTTGACATCTTATAACTTACCGTTATCCATCTATTTCCACGATTGTATATTATATATCTTTGTAACCAAACGATGTCAAAGAATACAAGATACAGATTTGTTACATGGCTAACAGTAAAATATTGACAATGTGACTGTTTTACCAGATAATGGCACAATACGCGGTATTATGTGAATCCTTGTTTATACCTTGGAAAGTTTAAGTTAATAATATGACTTGTTTGTATCACTGGGCTGGAAAAATTAGTGCACTTTGACAAGTGTCTCCCTAAGATCTGATATTGCAACAAGCAATGGTAACAATCATATCTTAAGAATACTAATGCAAAGATATTTCTCCATCAAAATTGAAATAATTTTGGACAGATCTGGTTTAGCTTTAGACAGATTAAGCATTGCCTACATTAGAAAATTACTTTAATTCAGCATTAACTGGCACTAATTAAGCGGTTTTCCTCAAAGACATCATAAATAAAGAGCATGTGGATAATTACAGTGTTTTTGGTAGTGTGGTTAAAGGCTGATTTATTAAGATGGTTGATGTACATCATCAAGACCGTGATGCACTGCATTGCATCTTATCTATATCATTACCTGACTTGGGAGGCTTAAAGCTGTCACTGGGCATGAAATAGAAAAATGTTTTTCCTTGAGCTTTTTCTAATGTGTACACATGCATAAGAGCATTGTTTCTGAGGTTACAGCATTATTGACAGTGAAAATAAATTTTGGATATCAAAACAAGCCATTTAAGATGATTTAAATTCAGTCTTTATAATCAGTAAGAGATCATTTCTTCTTTGCACCAGAGTATAAAAAAAAAATCATTCCAGCCATCATCCTGACTCACAGTGTGAATGATGCAGTCAAGCGAGTTGTAATATTCACTGTTGTATATAAAGGAGGTCAGAAACCAAAAGATCATAACCTTTTCTATTTAATTGTATGCAATACCATTAAATAAATTTTATTCACTAATATGCTAAGTACAGCTTTATACTTCCCCAAGCCAGTAAGAACATCATAAATTGTATTTCCGGAAGTTTGCATCAAAATATTTAGCCCAACCTTGCTTTACACACCATACTGCTCATATGTGAAACCAGAATCATATCTGGGCATTGATACCTACATCATTAACTATTCACATGCCAGTGATCTGAATTTTGTGATCAGGGATGTAATGACAACGCTCATCACTGACCTTGAAGAAAGATTTTCACAGAGATCTAAAAAACCTTTTGGAGTAGTTTGCATTTCCCAAATGTCAGTCTGAACCTGGCACAAAGTGAAGGGATGTCCAATGGCATTGATGTCATCATGCAGAATACATGGCTTGGCTAACAATCGGGAAGCAATGGCCTA